TCTCCCACCCCCGCCCCTCTCTCTCCTCATCATCATCGTTGGTTCTGTCTCATGTCATTTCCTCTCAGGGTCCGACCGCCTGTCAGTGATGCAACGTTATTTATTTGAATTCCCCATCATTACCTGCTCTCCTCTTCCTCTACCCTTCAGTTTACTTCTGCTTCATGGTCACCGGCTTAGTGATGTCAGAGTTGCCCAGCTTTCGCCTCTTTATAAATATCAATGATATGCCCTTGAGCTGAAGAAAATATACTGCGCTTCCAGAGGAGTTTCTCAGCGGCCGCCTTTAAAGCATATGATAATTGGAGGGAAAGTCTCTGCTGGGTGTTTGTTTCCAGGTTCAGTACAGCTGCAGTCCCTTTCTTGTGTACACTCAGACTTGACGGCTCGCATACTGACAAAGAAAGCACCTTTGAAAGAGATGATGAAATATCCACACAAAAAAAAGTTTATCACAAAGTGGACCAGAGCTAATGATGTCCTGGTCCACAGCAATTTAATGTTTGTTGCATATAGTTTTTTTGTATTCCTTCACCAAAGCTTGAAGGTCCAGTAGATGTGGGGCCTGAAGGTGGCAGCGATTAAGAGGATTTTCCCAGTTGTAACATTGCACAGTTCAAGACAAGGACTTTGTCTGACGAGTGTAATTTTACCCACTGGAGAAATGGTTCATCTTCAGCTTTATGATGCCTGCAGATGTGGGCGTGTTGTTAGAGCGGATTACGACACATTATGGACCTCAGCCGCTGCGTGGCACTCACGTTTGTTTACTCTATAGATTTTATCTCCGAGCTCAGAAAATATAGATAATTAATAAGTTGTGACTAGACTAGAAAGTGAGATAACCGAACTCTCTTTCTTTCGCCACTGAAACACCACAGATAAATTATCACTGGCTTCTTGGTAACCACGACATCCTGAAACATTTTTTGCCATTTGCTGGATTTTCTGCTCCGATTCACTCCTTAGCTTTAAGCTCTGCTCACCCTCATTTCTAGTCACAGCAGGCAGGAGTTCTTAACAAAATCCACTTTTCACCACCTGCTTGGAACCAAACAGCAGGAAGAATGAGTTAACAAGTAGACGGTGGACATTGTTCCACGTCTGTCACCTAATGAGGAAGATATTTCCTTTAGGAATTGTTAGAGGCTGCGTTCAAAACACCGATGTTGCTCTGTTTCCCTGCTGTGTGCGTGGGCAGATTTCTAGATTTGCTTAAAGAACTTATTAAAATTAATTTGTGTTCATCTCTGTTGTGATGTAATAACAATACAGGCACCAACATAACATTGTCAGTCTCTGGAAGTTAAGTTTTTTATTTATTACAAAACGGCGTCGTGATATTAACATATGCATTTACCACATGTACACAGGTTGGTACATTCTACTGTTTAAGAACAGAAACTTGAATTTACGTTTTAGAATTTACTTAAACCTTTTCTTAGAAGAAAAAATTGCAAATACAGTTTTCTTATAACATTAAATATTTTTTGGGAACGCTCTTTAAGAGTCTCCTTCGTTCTCCATCACTGTGTCCATGAATCTTCTCTGTGTTGGTCCTCTTGTTGTGCCTGTCTGTTAGCTCCATCTCTTCTGTCCTGTAGACCAGTGTTTCCCAAACTTTTTTTTCTGGGGACCCATGTTTTAAAAGTCACAAACCTTCACGACCCAAGTCAATAGACATTATTCATAAACTCCTTTGGGGACCCAAAACAAACCTGAGGGTCGTGATCCAGTCTTTGGGACACGGCGCTTTAGTCCAAATATTTACCATCTCTCCTCTCTACAAGTCTCTAGAAGACTACCTCAACGCCGCCCCATAACTTTACGTCTACACTACCTAACGCCAAGTCTGTGGTTCCTTCGGGGCGAACTCAGGTCCTTCTGTGTGTAAGGCAGACGTGATAACCACTACTGAAGTCTGGTGTCCAGGCTCCTGCCGACTCAGATATCGAGGCTCAGATGTTTCCGTAGAAACACTGATAGCAACAATTACGCTCCACATTAATTCACACTTTTGTTCACTGGTCCATACCAACCTGCCTTCGACACATTCTCACCCCACTTTTCCCTGTGTATTGGTTTAGATTAATCCCTAAAAGAGCTGAATTTCAACATCTGAACAAAGAATCACCAGGTTCGTCTTCTAAAAAAGTCACTTCTATTAATGCGCTGTCAGGATTATTAGATGTTAAACCTCATCTGAGACTCCAAATTATACATGTTACCGATCCACTGAGCCGTCGTTGTCGTCTGAAGCTGGGACTGGACTAGCCTTACCAGCACACAGAGATATCGTCCTAATTACACTGGAAGTCGGTGTTTTCGAGGATTGGCCAGGGGAGCAGCTATGGTCCTCTCCAAGGTCCTGGGGAAAGTATGGAAAGTGTTTACTTGAATGTTTATCGCTCCCTTGATGTCGGTTAAATCTTTCCTTGATGTCACCTCCTAGCTAAAGTGCAGAAGATAAGCAAAAATATAATTCATGAAGTTTCCAGGGACCAGGGCTTACTCCAGCTCCACGATAACAGCTCCAGAGTAGGTGTTGAATTTTGATGTATTTGAATAATTGTGAGAGCACAAGGTTTTTTTTTTCCTTTATCCAAAATGTAATATTTTGGATCAGCAGGTATTTGGGATTTCTACTCCTGTTTCTTTAATGTCAGGGCAGAGAAACAGAAATAAACAACATATTGTAGTACAAAAGAAAAAAAAAATACTAATGCTCCAGTGTGTGGGTGAGAGAGTCGAATAGTAACATCGTACAATATACAAAACAATAAGAACAACCAGCGATAAAGTATTAGTCATCACGGAAACATGAAAGCATTTTAACACATTGACAGAAATCAATAAACACAGAAAATAACAGTGTTGTATAAACACTACAACTTTATCATTTACTTTTAAAATCCTTTCTTTTTTATATTCTTTTGTATGTTGATGTTTATATTTGTGTGTGTGTGTGTGTCTGGACTGATACGTTTGTTAGATTGGATGTTTATATTTGTGTGTGTGTGTGTCTGGACTGATTCTTGATACGTTTGTTAGATTATTTCATACATTATCTTCAGTTGTTGACGTTGTTAAACTAATTGGACCAAAGTTAATACAACCAGGAGACAGAAATGTAAAATGTATGTTGTCATAATAAAACAAACCCATTAATAATCATATAAAAGAAAATTGTAAAACATTTTTTTAATTTTCCTAAAACCCTTTTGATGATTGATGTCAATGAGACATCACAAATAAATGACTCTCAGCGACATGTTAAAACTTGAAGATGGTGTTAAAACGTTTATATGTTTTCGTCATCTGGCATTAAATTCACTAAAATGTTATATAAAATAGATTCATCACCATAAACAAGTGTAGTTTTTCCTGTTTATTTTATTTCATTTTTTTCAAAAATGCACTCAGTTTGTTCATTTTATTTTATATTACTGGAAATAGTTTCACTTGGAAAAGAGGATAAAATTCTGTATTTATTTTACTGAAATTGAGAACTACCTCTAAAATGCTGACTCGTGATTTGTCCCTTGTCTTCTCCTTTTCCCTTCTTCTTCCTCCTTCCTCCTTCTCATTGTTTATTTTTCCAGCTGGTGCTGTTCTCTGGAAAACTCAACACCATCGCCAGCATTGTGACCATTTTCTTCCTCTTGGTGTATGCTGCTGTGGATCTGGCCTGTCTGGCTCTAGAGTGGGCCTCAGCTCCAAACTTCAGGTAAAGACTCCGTCCTGTCAGACTAAAAACACCTCGTCCACCTGGTCGTCTTGACCTTCTGATACTGTATATTTCCCATGGTTATATGTTAGTATCTTCAAGGATCACATCTCTTGCTGTTAATCAGCCCTAAAATCTCCCTCCAAATCCATGGCCGGTGTGTAACAGAATGTCATGTGACTTTCTGTTACTTCTCCCGTGAGCACCTTTGTCCCTTCTGCCTTTATTTACCACAAATCAGCCATTGTTTGTGTGTGTGTGAAAGGAAAGTCTTGTTTGCCAGCTGGACGCTACCATCACGGAGGCCGTTCTAATTAAAAGACATAAAACTGGCCCGTCCTCATTGGCCATCGCTGGACGGACTCCAACTGTGTGTGTGTGTTTGTGTGTTTGTAGGTCAGTGTGTATGCATCGAGGTGTCTCTGTGTTAAAATACATAAATGTTGAAGAAACGCTGAGATTTTATTGTGTTTAGAAGCTCACAGACATTAATATTGTTTTTTGTGTGTGTGTGTGTGTGTTACGTGATGATTATATCAATATGACGGAGTTTGATATTGGATTCACTCTGCAGTTTTTTATGAGATAGTCCATATTTTCTGTGCAAAGTGTTGACAGTGTTTTACAGAAAATATGTTATCGTCCAGATCTATAATTTCTGAAAGTGCCTCTCAAAATCCAATGAAGTCTGTGAGGTTTTTTTCCCACCAAACACATTGCTTTCTGTGATTGAACAAAAACACTCTGTGCTTAACAAGGGACCACTATCTTTATATATAATAGGGTCACACATTTGAATGTCAGGCTTCTATTTTTTACATTATTGTAAATATATATATATATATAACTGTACCAGCATTTATATTGTCAATAGCTGACAAAACAGTGGGTGAAAATGATATCTGCCTCATGGCAGATATCATTTTGGTCAGATGATAAGTACATAAGTGGATCAACGTGACTCGTTGTCTCCTCCTGCAGTCGGATGATTGAACACCCGTCTTTGACACGGTGATGAGAGGTGACTCACTTCACTAACATTACTTCTATTAGAGACACTCGGATGATGTCAACTTTGGTCTTCACGTCTCCTTCCTGAGCAGGTTTAAATTTAATGAGATGACTTGTGTTTTTCTACCATCAGCTGATGAAAAAGAAAGCTATTTGAAGTAGAAAGTGGATTCAGAACTATTTATACCGCAGAGAAGTATTAAAAGTGCAATTTTCAACATTGTGATTTCCAGGCAGAGTGATTCCGTCTTTAATATTTATGTAAGATGTATTCGAATTTGCATAGGGTACGTACAGACTACAAAGAATACTGATACGGCCCACCATCTGGGTAGTAATTATTACCAGGTTTGTTTTTGTTGCCTTCAGTCAGCAGTTACAACAGAACACTGTATTTTCAAGGTTAAGTCAAAAAAACAGATTGATGAAAATTTTAATTCATGTAAATACCAAAGACGATAACAGAGAATTCCCTCTTTGTAGGCGTTTTCCACAATGGATAAGAACTGGCCTCATCGAACAACTAACATCGAATGCTTTTAGTTTTGTCTAAAGATGAATATGGAGGACGATCACTGAGGAGATGAACCTTCAAACTTACTAAGAAACTTAGGGTCTTAGTTTTGTCTAAAGATGAATATGGAGGAAGATCACTGAGGAGATGAACCTTCAACCTGAAAAGTTGTCTGACCAGTGGTCGTGTACAATATACTACAACAGTTACTACATTGTGACTGTGGAGGTTATACCCAGGCTGTCAGCCTGAAAATAACAAATATGTGAAATTATATATTTCAATAGATACATCGCGCCTGAGTATAAGTCGCAAACCCAACCAAAGGATGAAAAAAAAAGTGCGACTTATAGTCCAGAAAATAATACATGACATCAGTGAAAATAAGAGTTGGTCCAGTAAGATAAGACTCCCGAAAGAAAAGCTCTAAACAACACAAGAACTGTTTTGTTGTGTTCAGTTCAGTTCGGTTCAGTTGTGTTGTGTTTCATTGCGTTACTTTGCAGTGTGTTGTGCCAATTCCAGTTTCCAGTTCAATTAGAAGTTGTTGTTGTTGAATTATGTGTTAATGCTTGTCAGTGTGTGTTTATTCTGGTCTGTGTGTAAAAGGCTTTGTGTTCGTAGCCCAGTCAGAGCGGCCAGTGTTTCCTCAGTTCCTCTCCGTGCTCACTGCTGTGTGTGTTATCTGCCCATGCTTCCTTATCGCTGCGTGACCGCTGGCAAAGGCTACAGGACACAAAGTAAGCTGCTAAACTTTCCTCCAGTCCATCTCTCTGTTGGTCCAGAGACCCGGTGCCTATGGAGCTGATAAGGCTGCTTGTTGTCAGGCCAACTGCCTGAATTGAGCCCTTTTTCTTCCCCCTGGAGTTCCTAATTCTGTGACTTCATTGTTGTTCTCTCACTGTGCAGTCTTTTACGCCACTTGTTTGTGCGTTTATTGGTTTATTTATTAATTTAAATTTTTTTTTTTTTTTGTTGCTCTCACTCTGCGCTCCTTTTTCGCTTGGCTCTCTCCCATGTCTCTTTCCAGGCGAAAAAGAATTAAAAGCTATTTAGTGCCATCACCCCCACCTCCCCGCCCGCGCCCCCCCAGAGATTCCCTCTGTAATTAGCATACCTAATTTAGCAGAAATATTTTCCCTTCCCTAAAATTTGCTACTGTTGTGAAAGGGAGGAGCGAAGGGACTGAAATTATGATGTGGCGGAAGAGATTTATGTTTAATAACAGCGTGTTTATGTTTGTACGAGGCTGCAGTGCAGCTTGGAGACAGTTTGACATTTGAGAGTCGAGCCAGTTTTTTTTTTTACTTCTTCATTACTTATTTTCTAAGTATTGTAAGTGTTTGTTATTTATTTTTTAAAGTTCATACCTCTACCGTACCAATACCATCTTTGTGTTCAGCTTCCGTAGCCTTATTTTTGTAATTAATTATATGTAATGACTTTTTCTTTAATTGATCTTATTAATGGTGTGAGTCTAATACAGGGTTTCCTAAACTTTTTTTTCTGGGGACCAGTATTTTAAAAGTCACAAACTTTTACGATCCAAGTCAATAGACATTATTCAGAAACTCCAACATGATGCAAGACGACCACAAAAAACCTGAGGGTCGCAACCCAGTCTTTGGGAGACAATGGTCTAATAGACAAAAGATTTGGAGGTGGCAGCGATGAAGATGGACAGGATCAGAGATGACTAGATCGGAGGGACAGTTATGGTGCAGCAGTTTGGAGATAAAGTTAGAGAAATGATGTTGAGGTGGTTGACGGGAGATGGTAAATATATGTTGGAGATGACAAAGTCCTCACAGGCTGGACTGGAGGCAGATGATACACACTGAGTTTATTCTTTGAATACTTATGTTGTTTACGTTAAAGACAAGTGTTGTCATAAATATAATCCTATAAGCAGACAGTGGGTAGTAGAGAATCTCACTGTACTGCAAACATTCAAATATCCTGTTTATTTTGCTCATATTTAATTCATGTGTTTGTATCTGGAACAGTTGGAAATAGTAGGATGAGAATGTTTTTATTTTGCAGCAGCAGGATGCGAACCCGTGACCCTGTTACCACACAGGTGTGTAAAGAGTCACTTTCACCAGCTCTGTGACATCTGACGTCCAAATCACAGCAGTGTTTTGTGAGGCCACAGTCATTGTGTTTGTAATGATCTATGATTTTTAACGACCAGTGCATCGGCTCCAAAAACAAAGCCTTGTCGTCTGCCCGACCTTGTGTTTTGTCCAGATATGAGTCAATGATTTGACTAGAGCGCGTTATTTATTATGAGATTGAGTCGTGTTGAAATCCAGATGGATCATCAGCTGTGTTTGGATGGATAAGAGAAAATTGGTTGTTACAGACTCATTATCTGTCATCGACTCTGTTCTGACCAGAGGAGGAGGTTTACTCCTTATTTTAAAGCTCACTTTTACCATCTTTGAAACAAACAGTCAGCCTTGATTTGCACTGATCTGATCAAACTGACTAGAACAGCTCTCTAGTACATGGTAAATTGTAGCCGACCAACCACTCTGTCAGAAGTTTTTATGTTGGGTATTGGTGCTCGCCGGGTAATTTTTGTAGAAGGTCCAATGACTTACGAGCAGTGGCAGGGATCCTCGCTTTGATGACAGAAACAATTTTATAAGAGGATATTGTTTTGGAGCTCTGCTCCAGAAAATACCAGTGACTTCATCTGTTCACTTTTTTTTTTCTCATGTTGTCAAAGTAAGTTCTGTTTTTGTCAGGGAAAAACATCAGTTCACGGCCGGGGAGAAACTTTAGATGACGACTCCCAGATCGTCACTAATGATCTGATGGACCAGTCCTTCTCTGTTCCAGAGCCTTATGAAGATTATTGATTATACAATACTCTTCTTGAAACCTGGAGCTCCTGAAAACATCAAGAAAGGACAGTGTTGGAGCTGCTGTCAAGGGAATGTTTTAGTTCAAATCTCCTGACAGCTGTAGTAATTTTCCCACTGACTTTTCTTTCAGTAGCAACATTTTTTCTGATACTCCCCCCACACCCCTCCACCCCCCACTAGTCAGGATAGTGGTTTTGTCAATAAATAAATGACCAGTTCCCCTCATCACTCTGCTCACCAGGTGACATGAGGGGGAGGAAAGTGGAAGCTAGCACGGAAAATAGACATGACGACGACTGAAGTGACCGAAAGACGAGCCTTACATTAAGTCAGTGGTTCCCAAACTTTCTCTGCTGCACCCTCCCTCCCTGGTTCATAAGAAACTTTTGGTCCCCCACCCAAAAAACAGAAACAAGACACCTGTGGCAAGAGCAATTACAATATATATTTTTTAATCAGATATTTATTTTAAACCAATCTGTTTTTGACTAGTCTCTTGTTAAACATTTACAGCATTGAACAATATCCATTCATTCATTCATTCCATATGCAATGGCACTGCGCCGCCCCAGAGGACACGCCCCCCACTTTGGGAGCATCTGCACTAAGTCATAATGGTAAATATGTTGTGAGTAGGTTTATTAAGGTGTGGTTGATGCCCGGCTCCCGACAGACTGATGTCAAATAAACAGATTTGATTCAGAACTTCGGTATCTGAGTTCACCTGTACAGAAATGTATTTGGACTCTGAATGTAAATTTAGTTTGAACGCCGCCATCGGGCTTCTGTGCAGACAATCTGTCCAATACAACGATTCAAATTATTAATTCAGCCTTTTACTTTTGGATCCTGGCAGCCTCACTCACTTTGTGTGTGTGTGTGTGCATATTTGTGGGTGTCTTTAAACTTTATGTCCCGACTTCCTCTCAGTTCTGACGTGTGTTTTGGCTAAAGGCCTGGTCCCCTCTTTTCATTTTGATCACTCTCTCTTTTAAAAAAAATTCTTGGTAGGACTTCAGGCAGCGACTGCTTCTGATTTTTTTTTTTTTTTTTTTTTTTTTTTTTTTTTCAGCCTAAGGAAAACCTGCGGTGGGAAAAAAAGAGAGGGGGGGGGGGGGATGGGCGAGAGTGAGACGATGTTATGGAGCCACCGCAGCGTCTAATGATGCAGGGACAGCAGAGACAAAAGGGGGGGTGGGCGGACGGTCGGTGGGCGAGCTTTTACCTTAATTACAGCCGCTCTTGAACGGGATGAAACGAGGGATTAGATTAAAGGAACGTGGGCACAGCCGGAGCTAAGTGATAAAGTCAAGAAGAAATAAAAGCTAAGTTATTGACAAAGGGCTGCGGTGCGAGCCTCTAACCATCGAACCCATATCATTAATATGGTTTTGAGTTAGAGGTTTGTCCTTCATGACAACAGGAAGTTGGTGGATTTCATTCTAAAAATAACAATAAGATAAAACTTGCCGCACCAGCTGAGTCATCTCTTTGAATTTTAAAGAGACTGAAATCTGGTGTTTACATCAGTAAGCTCTTCACGGCAGGTTCCCATCCCACAGGACGCCAGCGGTGTATGAGATATAAACTGTACTGCGCTGTACGGATTGTAAAGAAAGTGGAGTTTCAGTATTTAAAAAAAAAAATTTCCTCGTAGGACTGTACTAATGAAAAAGGACAGCGTGAACGTGTGCTCTGACGATGTGGGAAACAACGTGACGAGAAACAGTATTACAAGTTTAGCTTTTGTTTCCAATGCAGTTGTTTGCCTAAAAATGCTCTTTTAGAATTCATGTTATTTGAGCCAAATGAGGCGTGTGCACACAGATACACAGCAGACATAAACTAGTCTTTATCCTAATAGGAACTCACCAGATGCTCAAAATTTAACCTTAGAATTAGCATTAAAACTTTAGCATCCATTTCCTAAACTTTCTCTAATTATTTAGCTAATAAACTGATCTAACTTTGACAAGACCCAATTGGTTTGCAGCCAAATTATTGATAATTTAACAGACACACAGTTTGACATAACTATATATTTTTTCCTCTTTCCGAAGAAATCTTGAGAATTAATGATATCAGTCTAGTGGCTCTCACTCCGCTCCTCTCCCCAGCCCTCCCTCCCCCTCGTTGTTCATTTCTTCGCCTGCATCCTGTAACATCCTGGTGGTCTCACCTACTCATCCTCTCTTGATATACATCAGCTCCATCCCTCCTGGGTGTGGCGAGCTCGTTACTTCCCTCTTCTCAGAGACACCAGATTTGATCCCATGAGGAGGCCAGTCACTTGTTCGAGCGGTGCTGTGTAATTACAGCTGTGGCTGTTAAAACGGCTGTTTATCTGCACGTCTGCAGTTATTGCAGGGGAATTGGGGTCAATTACATGATCCTCTAAAAATGTGTTTCCACTCGCTGTGTGGCGTCAAACTTCATGACCCCTAAAAGTCATTCATACCGGAGCGGCACGCTGCTGTTTCTGACAGGCATTATATATTTATTGCAACTAATGCGCACACACACACACACACGCTGGTATATGAATCCAAGCCCATGCAATGAAAAGCTGTGAGTTTAACTGCTGGCAGTAGCCTATTATCCATGTGTAATGTTTGTTTTAATTGCCTTTGTCTCAGCATTAACCACCAATTATGATGCCACAGCGCAGTAATGCACTCGGAAATTACTTTGTAGATATGTGTCTGGAATTTCAGTTCAGGTCATTATGTCTCTCTTTCTAAGACTCAGACTCAGATGTTACATTCAGCATGTTTTTTTTTTAATGTTTCTGTTTCATGTTTCTGTAACCTCAGCACATGATGAGGTGAACGTTTCCCCACGTTACCGTCTGAGTCGTTAGTGTGCGGCTTTAACAAAAGCCTCGCTCCAGCACTGGCGTACAGGTGTTGGCAGCGAGGTCATACAAAAAAAAATACAAAAAATGATGTCAAAAGCCGAGCAACAGTCACAACGAGAGGCTGTGCAGCAGTATGTTTTTACCACCACTGTAAAAATTACCTCCAAATCACCATCCAGATGAACAGAGGTGAGCTGAGGGAGCAGTCAGACCTGAACTACAATGACATGCAGGAATATTTTGGTGTTTATTTAGGGCTTGTGTCACTACGACCTGTACTTTTCTGCATGTCATTTAAAAAGTACCGTCTTTAATAAAACACACTAACTTTCAAAAATAAAAAATAAAAATTAGTCTAATTAAAATTAGGACCACAGGAGAGATGTTTATGAAGATGTTTATCTTTAAATGTTGCATTAATTGTGCATGGTATATTTCAGATTTATTCAGTTGAAAATGTAAATGTGAAAATATGAATATTTCCCATGTACCACTAGAGAGCGCTTGCATACCACTGGTGGTACACGTACCACAGTTTGAGAACCACTGGTGGAATCTCATCTAATCTAGTATAAACGTGTCAAGTATAAAATCAGTTTTAAGGTGGATTTTTTAATTACCTTGAGAAAAAGTCATTATTTTTCACAGAAAAAAGCTCAGCCTTCCAAGAATAAGGTCAGCTAATATTAATAATCTGTGGTGGAAATGTGTCATTTTCCCCCTGCTGGCTAGATTTGATGGTACAGTATGAAATTTTACTGCAAAGCTGATTTTCTTTATACCTCAGTTGGAAGATAATCACATCAGGGGATTTCCATTATTCTCCAAAATTCTCTATCGTATCATTTGGGCTTTGATTGCGGGAAGGCCATTTGGAGGCGTCTGTGGTTGTGGAAGAACGATCTGGAAATTTAATCGAAGTTAAGAATAAAGAATCTCAAACCACAGCTTCCTGTAGAACTACTGATTCTTTGAAGAACCAAAACACCATGTAACCTACTGCAGCGGTTTGGTCCAAGTCCATATAATCATCACATTTAACTGTATAAATTCTATATTATACATTCAACAGTAATACTTCACCATAGACAACATTACAGACTGGGAGAGAAGTGGAATTTTATTTTTTTTCTGATCCTTATTTTAACCTCTACTGTTCTGTTCACAGGCCCACCTTCCGTTACTTCACCTGGCACACCTGCGTGCTCGGCATTGTGGGATGTGTTGTCATGATGTTCCTCATCAACGCCATCTATGCCTCGGCCAGTATTGCCTTCATGCTGCTACTGCTGCTGCTGATCCACTACCTCAGTCCCACATCCAGCTGGGGCTACATCAGCCAGGCCCTTATTTTCCACCAGGTCTGAGAACACACACACAACATAATGCATTGCCCAACATGTCACTTTTCAGTAGGTCAGAAGGACCGGTTTACGCTCACACACCTTTTGTTTCTTAAATGGTCTCCTCATCACACGTCAAACTAAAGTTTCATCCCCTTCAGCTTTACAAGAGCCTGAACGGCTGCCAGAGAGACAGTCTGTCAGGTTTACAGAGACACACAGGGGCGCCAATGTTGTGACGTGCCCTGACACACACACACACACATACACACACGTACACAGAAGGACCACACACACACATACACACACGTACACATACAGAAGGACGGGCACACTGTTCTTTTTCATAACCAAGTGCTTTGCATTTAGCAATCAAACCTCCGTGTTTTTTTCTCCTGCCAACACTACCTGCCATTTCAACTGCATCTATCACGTTTATATCAGGCTAACACACAGACACACACACATTCTGTTTTTGTCTATCGTGCGCTCCTAATAGCCACACTGTCTTCTATAGCGTCTTTATCTTAAACCTAACTATTACATGTATTTTTCTAATCCTAATCTTTACCCAAACTCTAATCTAACCCTAGTTGTAATCTTGAATCCAAACTAAACAACAAAACATCAACAAAGTACCTTCTCACTTGTTGGGGATGTGCAAAAAAAGTGTCAACACAACAGAAGTTTGGGGATGTGCAAAAAAAGTGTCAACAAAACAGAAGTGTTTAAAAATAATTAATAAAAAAAACGTCCCCATGAGGATCGTGACTCCAGATGCACAGCCACAGACGTACACGTGGATAGAGATAGCTTTACATCATCCAGCCGAGTGTCCTCTGTCTGGGGAGCCTGTTGCTCTCAAGGAGAGGGGGTGCAGTTGCCAGGTGGGCCTGTTGCCGAGGGGAACGGTTGCCAGGACTGTGGGCCGTTGCTATAGGCTCAGGGAGGCTACTTTTGCCAAGAGTCTGTCAAAAGGCTGTGCATTATTACATTCACTTTACTTATTGTGTTTTCTCTCCTCATCCTCCTTTCCCTTTTATTTTTTTCCCCCCGTCACAGTTTCTTCATCTTCTGTTCTCTTTGTCTCAGTGAGATAAGTGCTCACCATACCGCCGGTCACAGGGGGGCATCGTTTTACAAGAGTTAATAATGTGTAATTGGTAATTAACTCATGACAAACACAACAGAGTTTCACCTTTGTTTTAATTCATCCTGAAAGAGTTTGTTCTTGTGCCACGACTCACGCTGTATGTCTGTATGTCCCAGTGTGATCCTGACTGGAGCTGTGATGAGGTCCAGAGAGGGAAAAACAAAGAATGACACCATACAAGTCACTAACACTCTGTGAACATGTCCACTGTCTTCACACGTGTCATGTAGCAAAACACTGTACAAGTAGAGTTGGTGAAAACACAACCGCATACAAGACAACAAATCATCAGACCATCTGCACCAGTTCTCACTCTGTGACATGGACATATATAACACACACAACTAATATCTCAACAAAATTATGGCAAAAAAAAATCAACAACAACAACATTGTAAACAAAGGAGTGAATGGTCGGTTGTTGTACGAAAGAATGTGAAACAGAGTAGTTGTTGTCATGAGTTTATAAAGTTTATAAAGACCTCATTTATACCATATAGTTTTAGGTAGTTGAGAAGTAATTTATGCAGAAATCTTTAGTCCATGTCTCACAAATGAGATGAGCTGCTTTTGGAATTTCCATGTCAAAAGAACTCTTCTTGGCTCGTCAGCTTTGTTGAAATTCTGTTTGTGTCATCATCTCTTCATCTTTGTAACCTCACTCAGGCCACTCTAACGTCCTGCTGCAGGGCCAAATAATAAAAAGGTAAATAAATTATAAATACATGTGTAGATATATTCACAAAAGAGAGAGAGAGAGAGAGAGACTCAAGCAGAGATGAAACATTGTGTCCCTTTTAGAATTACAGTAGAAGACAGGTCAAAAATATCTCCCTTTATGCAGATAACAAAGTGATTTCACTGACTTATCCTTCATTTCAGTTAAACACTTCTGTGAAGAATGAATTCTGGTGTTTCCAGAATTCTTTCCCCTTTCTAATGTTTGACAAAAGGACAAATCAGATTGCGCTCGATTAAAAACATCTCACATCTTGTTTCCCAGTCCTGTTCTTGCTCTAATATTATAGGTAAGTTCTCTGGAGGGAACCAAATCTTAAATGAAAAACCTCTGAATCAGCTTTATTGATGTTATTCTCAGTTCTTTACTGTTCGTGTCTGGAGTTACTCCTGGAGAGAAGCCCAGTCCTGATTAAACACTAATGGATCTATCAGAGGAGGTCACGTCTGCGTAACGTTACATGTCATGTACATGCACTCAACTTCAGTTCCTGTACTGTACCTTCCAGCAGTACTTAGTGTGGCAGGATGCCAAAGAGGTGACATTGAAGCTGCGATGGTAACGACACAACCGCTTTCAGCAACAATGGAAAAAAAAACCCCACAGCACTGGAGATAAGACGAGTCTGACAACAGTGTTAAGTAGAGAAAGAAAAAGACAAACTGAGGCCGGCATCACTGATGGTATCACAGGAGCTAAAAGACAAGGACAGCATATAAGCAGAGAGAAATGGATGAGTGATGGAGAAGTAAGTGATGGATGAGAGTGAAATGACAGAGAAATGATGATAGCCTGATGGATGAGAAGCCTGGTAAATGGAGAGATAAAGAGAGACAGATGCTCCGATGAGTGAAGGCAGTCGGGCTTCTCATATGGGATTTCTTTTTTTTTTTCTTGTTGTTGTTGTTTGGTTTTAACCAGAATTCCTGAACAGGGCCCATTAACGCAGTAATGATGATGGTGGGTGATTATGATGTTAATGATGTTGATGAGACCTGCACCTACGGACGCTCACTGAACTTTGACAAACCACACTGGCTCTGGTGAAGTGATTGTTATCAGAGTCATTTTTTAGTTAATTTAAGAGCTGAGTATCTTTGGCTGTTTTATGTTACTGCCTCCATTCCATTAGGCATATCTTATAGGTGTATAGGTTTTTTTTATTTATTTACTTTCCTTGTCCTGCATTGTCTTTGTGGTAAAGTTGTGATATTCAAAACTTGATTTTGGAATCTTATGTCAGGCTAAAACAGACCTTACGTTTCATCGCAAGGGGTAGCTGTGGATGAACCCAGATAAATAAATGAAAAATAACAAAACCAGTTTTCTAAATATTGATAGAACTGATGGACAAATATCCCAAAGGGAACTCCTAAGGGGTTAATGAAGTTCTATCCATCCATCAGATAACAACAGGTAGATGTAAGGGCTTCAAACCTGTTTTTATTTGTAATCCAATAATAGATGTATTAATGTACAGACAAATGTACCCTAATATATTACAATAACATGTTGTTGGTGGACTTTAGTCTTTGCTCTGGATCTCGATGGTCACCTGTAGAACACAGGAGGTTGCTTTCAAAACTTCAGTGAAGCCACTGTCCTCAACAATACCAATCAGTCTCTCACAATCCATTTGACAATGAAGTCAGTTTGTCAGTTTGTCAGCCATAGACACCGTTGTTGTTGTTCCTACTCCAGTGGTGACACCCCACGCCTCCTTCACTGAGCTCCAAGATAGTCACTAACTCCATTCTGGGAGTGCAAACACCGTGAAATACACTGATCTACCCCTTTAAAGTCACCTTCCTTAACTCATACAGATGAATTTTACTGCTCAGGGCTGCAGTTTCAACATGGCCGACGTGTCGTCTCTGAGTTTATGGTCATTAATCCCAATAAGAGTATCAAATAAATAGTAATGGTTCCTGGTAGACTTTGGGATCACACCTAATGCTTTGTTCCACTTGGTTACATTTCCCTAATGCCACCTTGTTAGCGCCCTATTAGACTCATAGTCAGGTGTGATTGGTGTTCACTGCAGTACACTCCGAGTCCAACTGTAGTCACTGTTGTAGTTTTGTGAATTAGAAAACACAGATACAGTTTTTAGAAAATACAACTGATACACACACAGTTACTAAATGATTCAGTATGAGTACACAACTTTTTTTCTGGACACCTTTGGGACCTGGACACTCATATAAAATAAAATAAATATTATGTTTTTGTCTCAAAAATCCTGGCCTGGATTTATTGGCGTGCCAAAGTTAGCCTGCGGGCCACAAGTTGATAATCACTGATTTAATGATTATTTAATTAATTATTTTAGGTCTATATTTTTACAGCATACAAAACCTTTTATTCCGGTTGCGATGCGGGCCAACAGCATCTAAATTTCATTGTAATGTTAATCTAAAGTCATTTAGAGGTTGTGGATCCCACAAAGTACCTTACTGTAATAGTCCGGTGTAGCTAATGAACTCATTATGTGGTTGAAGGTAAATTACAATAAGAAATTAAACAAAACTTTTAACAGGGTTATTATAGGATGTGGCATTAACCCCGAGCCAACTCTGAATGTGTTACAAGTCAATGTAAATTGACCCACTTCCTGTGTGTCGGACATCATGAGGGAAAAACAATGGCAGTCTCTGTGAACATAATCAATACCTTGCAAACAGGAATAATGTCCCTTTGTTCAGCATAAGAATTGCAAACAGAATGAGCTCAGTTTAAATGATGGATTTCCTTTGAAATCACAACACAGAAACACAGTGCTGTGCAGTGAGTGTGGCCCTGGGAGTACGGTTCAGTTACAAACTCCCCACAGTGTAAATGGCACAAAGTTTTTACACCCACTTTGCATTTGTCACCAGGATGTTGAAATCTAAAATAGGCATAAAGTCACAAATTAATCTGAATTTCACACAATAATATTGTAATATTTTGTTTGGATTTTTAACCTTTTTCCCTCTTCCCTAAAATTGAGAAATACAAATTTAATTCAAATATTGTTGTTGTTTTTTTT